AGAGAGAGAGAGAGAGAGAGAGAGAGAGAGAGAGAGAGAGAGAGAGAGAGAGAGAGAGAGAGAGAGAGAGAGAGAGAGAGAGAAGGGGGGGATGATATTGGACCACAGACCGACATTGGGCAGAGACACTGGGAAGACTATTTGGAGACTGCATGAGTGACATTTGGGATGACGACATCTCCATTCCTCCTCCTCCTTCGTCTCTTCCCCCCTCCTCTTCATCTATGGATGTTTGCTGGTCCGGCGCCCTTTGTCTGTGTATTGGGCGCCAGGACCCCTCTAACCCTGCCTGATGATGATGAGTGTGTTGCAGTCATTACTTGTCATTTGAGTCAAGTCGTGGTATGTCAGTCTTCCGCGTTGCTATGTGTGCTCTCATCTCTTTGGGTCGGTTCTTGGTCCTGATCTTTTCCTCACAGGCATGCGACAGATATCACAGTTGAGGCTTGGGAAATTAAACAACTTGCTGGATATGTGACAAGTGCAAGTCATAAGTGGTTTACTGAAGTATATTGGCGTTTCTGAGGGTGTAGACCTCGGTGATCTATGCTTTAAATTCCGTTCATGTATAGTATGACACATGACCACCTTGCATTTGTTACACCACCAGTACTTCCAAAAGTCATGCATGTGGCCACGTGGTGGGATGAACGGGCCTGGTCAAGTGGCGTAAATTCATTCACGGGGAAACGTTGTGCCAGGTAACCCTATAAGAGTCTGGAAGAAAAAAAGTTGTACAGGGATACCAATGCAAACAAATTTTGGCTAGGGTCACCTCCAAATTTGTGATAAAATGATATTAAAATTGGATTTGTTGAATTTTGTTCGGGATGTCAAGGTGGTAGTCATGGTTGCGTTCATTGAGGTTACCCTCGCCTTGTATTCCTGCGTTCATTATCAAGGCTGCCCTTATTCCGCTGATCACCACTATCATTGTCATCGCGCTTGCTCATCGTGGTGCTACAGAAAGAATGCCTGAATATCTGGGTTCAGAAATCCGGTCAGATATCCAGGAGCATGGTTCCACTAGCAACCGGATAGGATAGAAAAAGAGTTTGTGTGGCAGTTGAGTGACCCAAATCCTGCCGTGCAGTACTCGTGATCCCATGGTCAGTATTTTAGATGTATTGCCCGAAAAAGTAAGGAGATCTTGGTTCCCCTCCTCCTCTCCTTAACACTGGGCATGCCGGTGCAAAGGAAGCTTCCCGCCAAAATCTTTTCAATCCGTTGGGGGTATGGCCAACCCCAAAAGAGAGTGGGGTCGGCCATAGGACCACTGGATAGAAGATTTTCAGTATTTTGCTTGCTGTTGTGCAATTATCTCATTGGGTGCAGCCCTCCTTCAATCACGGAGTATATGGAGGGCGTCAGGATCACGGCTGACAGAAGTTGAGTTTTTTCCAGAAAAATGTGGCAGTTACTTTCTGCACTGTTGTTGCAACCACCACCATCAGATCATTTGTGATCTGATGGCTGGGAAGCACTCTGCCGTGATTTCAGGTGGGAGGTCTCTGTTTCTTTTTTTTTTTTTTTGCCTTTCTCCTCTTTTCTCACCCCAGAAATTCGTAACGAACCTGTCAGGCCGCTGCCACTCAGTGTCACACTGGATCGGCCACACTCCTATCCGACTGCTAATGGGACCATGCTCCTGGTACCGAAGAACTGCTAGCTTAGCTTTAATGTATAGTACATGGCTATTCTCCAGATTTCAAGCTCCCATGGATTTGGGTGATGTGCTTTAAAGCCTTTAATGTGTAGTACGGGACTATTCTCCATATTTCAAGTTGTTGCACGCTTTTGGCCTGTAAAACCCAGACATTCGGCTTTAAAAAAAAAAAAAAAAAAAAACATTCGGCCTATTGTAGTTAAGCTAGGAAAAACGTGCATGAATCTGTGCAAAGTTGCAAACTTACCCTTTTTTTTTGTTTGTTTTTTCATCTTTCCTTTACCTCTCTTCCCCCCCCTTCCCCCCCCTTCCCCCCCCTTTTCCTTCTTTTACCTGTTTCCCCTCTTCCCTTACTTTCCCCTCTTTCTTCTCCTCCCCCCCTTCCCTGCCCCCCTCCCCCGGCCGTCGTACTCCTGCTCCCATCCCTTCCCCCCAACTCCATATGTGATGCGATGCCTTTGACACTCTGCTATTTTGCTTTCCTCTATTGCTGCCTTCTTCTCTTGTTGCTTTTTTTTTTTGGCCAGATTGGATCTGGGGATATGTTCATGAAAGAGTTTGATGCCATATCAGAAGTCGCCCTGCAGAAGCTGAATGAGTTTTCTCCTCAACATCTTGCTAACACGGTAGCCCCTCATTTACCCATTTTGCCACCTATGGAAAAGGGAAAATCTCCGAAAAAGAAAAGCCTTGAGAAGCCTTGAAACACTGATTTTTTTCTGTTTTTTTGTTTTTCATTAATGGTCCATAACGAGTTCAATTTATTTCGTGTCCATCTTTTCAGTTGTACGGAATCAACAGTTAAACTGTTTGCCCGAGACTTTTGTTACTTCTTTTTTGTGCAATTGCTCTGTCATCACGTGAAATGTGATGAAAGAATGGTTTTCTGTTTTGAAAAAGGAAAATATTTTTTTTTGAAAATTTTGTCAGGTGCTGTCGCTTTGCCTCTCCTTCAAAAGACACAGCAAAATCTTTCTAAAAGCGCGGGACACGTACTTCGTAGACTGTTTCTGGCTGCAAATGCAGTCAGATACATCCAAGAAAGCCCTGCGTTTGAGTATTGCTCTAAATATACGTACGATGTCTCCAATCAGAAGAGCAAAGAAACAAGACAACACGTAAATTAGAAGAAATAACTTCAGAGAAGGAACAAGATCGTTGCGGTATGTACGAGTAAAGAGAAGACCAATCAATAACTCGGAAATAGTTCCAGCAATAATAATGATAATGATGACAGCAACAATAATGATGATGATGATGACGATGATGATGATGATAATGATGATGATGATGATGATGGTGACGGTGATGGATAGATAATGGTTATCAGTTATGAACATTCTCATGGCGCACCTATGCGTAGCCGTGCACCGTGCGCTGATGAGTGATGTGTGTGCACGTGCGCACTGCACGCACTGGGCGCTCATGGGCAGTGGGCTGGAGCAATGTGCACTGTTGAATGCGCCTTTTTTTGCTCTTTCTCTGTGTGTGTGTGTGTGTGTGTGTGTGTGTGTGTGTGTGT